TACGTACGGTAGGTACGGTACGGTACGTAAGAAACGGAAACGGAAACGGTAACGGAACGGAAACCGAACGAACGAACGTACGTACGTACGTACTACCTCTCTCTCTCTCTCTCTCTCTCTCTCTCTCTCTCTCTCTCTCTCTCTCTCTCTCTCTCTCTCCACACACACACACACACACACACACACACACCCACACACATCACTTCAATGGGCAGTGATGCCCCATTGCCTTGCAATCAATAGCCTAATGGATTATATTGTGTTTCTGCTATAAATTTACATGACATTAGAGATTCCTTTTATTTGATGCTAATCATTTACTGGTCTACCCTTTGGAGGCCAAGAATGCCAACCTATGGTGTTAGAAAGATTTTTTTGGAAGTTCAAAGAAGAACTACGGGTCGATATAAACAACATGAACAATGAAGAAATCAGACTGTATCAAACATGGAGATGTTCATATATAAGGATTCCGACACCTGTGGAAAATATTCGAGGTACAATTTCAGAGAAATGCACAAAAATTGAGCAATGCAATCGGATAGAAATTGAATTTGAGACCGCATTCATTGGAAATGCGCCATTGCAATGTATCACACCAATCTTCAAGAAACGAGAAGGCGAAATTAAATTCGATTCAATACTAAATATGAAAAAAAGAATTTCCAAAAGAAACAATGGAACATCTCTTCACTATTTGCATGAGAGGGGCAGAGGGCCATGCGCCAAGCTCATCGTGTAGTTTGTCATAACCATAAAAAGATTGTTAGCACTTGTGATTTAAACATTGTCAATAACACAAGTCAAATAGTCGGACAAAAGCATTTTGAAGAGTAATAAGCAGAGCCATTTCCTCAGACTTTAGGGTCTAAACCAGTCAAACCTCAAATTTTGAAAACAAGAGGGAGTGCCTTCGGTCAATATGCAAAATTCTGATGATTTTAGCTCTATTTGGGTGAACATATGCCCACAAGCAGTTTAGCTCTGAACAGTTTTTCGAAATTGAAGAATTTCAAGCTCTTTACATTAATACATATGACTGCTCATTTGAGATTGAAAAACCAACCTAACAACAGCATTAATCATCCAATTTAAAGACAGAAAATAAATAAACTAATCATCCAATCCTTTCCCAGTAAACTAAAGACAGAAAAAAAAGTAAGGAAACCAGAAATTTTAGGACTCCTACTCTGAGAGCAGCAAGCAGAAATTTAGCAAGGCTTTTAATGGGAATAATGAGTCATCAGTTTCATGTAAGACACTCGAGGCCTTCCCACTCTTCTAAGAGAAGAGTATCCCATTCAGACCAAGTCAATGCCAATGTGGAAGCATAGGAAGTCCTAAGTGATTGCTTTCCTAGGATTTAAGAAAAGACTTTGTTGATGCCTGCTGTTACAAGTTCCAATGAAGTTGTGATATTAGACTAGATGCATACATTACGGCAAATTTGAATTCATCATCATCATCTATCCCAACTATGTGGGGTCGGCTACGAATTTGAATTCATACAAATGTTACATGGATTGTTACGAAATATTATCTATCTCTCATAGGAAACCCAAGGCCTTGGTAGTCAGGGTGGCTAAGCCACCGGTTCTATTCTTACCAACTATATCCACTAACATGTCCCAAAAAAAAAAAACCTCTTATTTAATTCTGCAAAATGGGAATGATGCTATGCCATTGTTAGGTTTGGTGACAGCCAAAATCACCACTCCTATGTTTTCCTAGAAAACTAGGGGTATTATAGTCTTTAGGTTAAAGACAAGGGGTTTTCTGAGGAGAGAAGCATGGCCTCAAAGAGATAGACAGTTTTCCTGTGAGTTTCAGGTTTCTCCAGTTTCAACTTCTGGACAGAGAATGCTTCATGGCACTCTTAAGAATATTTTTCCAGTTGCAATGCAACACTGAAAAGAAAGAGATTGATTAGTGATGGTGTCCAGTCAGAAGAGTAGATTTAAATAGTAAAACCGGAAAGGGTTTTGCCAATGTATAGAGAGGGAGAGAGGTATATCTCTTGTACAAAATGTAATCTTCATTGATAATGGATTTCGACTTACCGATGAAATGGAAGTCACCCCCTTGAGGATAAACCTCATAACTCGTGATATTGTGGTATGCTTTTACATTTGCTTCATTTATCGCACTCGATTTGCGGTTGTATTCACTTATTTTGCATCTAGCCGACTATGGATGGGATCCTGATTTCTGGTATTCCTAGTTCTGCAAAATTGAAAGGTTCCAGAAGACCCTACATGTCATGAACTCATTGACATGTGTACTCATGTCTAATAGAATAGCCACGTTAGACACAAAATATCAACACAAAACAAACATGTTGAATCCCAAAATGTGGGGTACTCATATATTATATAAATAAACTGTATTACAAATTGAATGTATGTGCCAGAATCCTAGACATGCATGCCAACATTTCAAATACAAGTGTCCATATTCTAGAAGCCTGCAACCAAATTCTGAATGCACGTGTGCAGATCCCAGAGACCCATCCAAAATCAGATATGTAAACCATAATTCCAAACATGTCCACATATCGACACAACGAAGGACCCACTTTCAGAGTCTCAATTTGTATTTCTGGTGTATCGACACGTGTGTCCTTGTCATTGTGTTGTAGTTATATGTAAAAGACCCCCGGACACATGTCCAAGTTACAACAAGAAACAAATGCCATACCAAGCACGGAGGACTCATTTTCTGAGTGTCTAGGCATGCGCCCATGTGCTGACAGTGTGAGGGATATGTACTTAAGTTCTGAGCATGCATCCACATATTGTCACTGTGAAGTAGCTAACTATACAATGTTTACACTTTTTAAGTGTCTGATGCATTTCTAGTGTTTCAGCACGTGTTATTGCCATTCTGGTCTCCCCAAGTGAAAGAAATACCAGAGGCATATATCCAAGTCGCATAACAAACAAGAATAATACAAATGTGAGATACTAGACCGAGGTTTGGGTGGCCTTTGTAGTTGTATTTCTAGAAGAGTGGCATAACTCATAGATTCAAACATATCCTCAAAAAAAAAAAAATATCGTCGATTCAAACAAAATCAATCATCATCATCATTTTAGCCTTTTTCCCAATTAATTGGGGTCGGCTACATGAATGCAGGTTCTCCAGTCCATTCAAACAAAATCAATAATAACCAAAATAGTTCTGCATCCGCGTTCTCAATTTTCATCAAATACTCATTTCTCAATTTTCATCAAATACTCATACCTAACAACAATATTATCCAAGTAAGATAGCAGAAGACACGTTCATTGCATCTATGCAAGGTATTCTGGCATCAAGGAGAACATATCTAGTACGAAGACAACAAATTCATTCCGTAATATCGAATCACTATGGATTGGCATATCATTTTAGATCAGTTCTGAGGTCCCCATGCATAACGAGAAAGGATGAAAATGGGGCAATGTATAGTACCAGAATTTTAGGTTGATGAAATCCATATATTATTCTCTAGTTAATTAAAAAAGGCAAAAGTTTATATAGAGCCGAAGCTCTAAACAATCAAATTTGAGCCTACCTTCAAATAGTATCGAGAAATGTAGTTTCAATATTGGAAATCTTTGTGATGATATTTTCATATTTATTTATAAAGTTTAAAGCTTCAAAATTAGTGTAGATCGACATATCTATGAAAACTTAAAAATCTTGAAAATTGATGGTCAAAAAATGCTTTACAAAATACACTATTTTCAAAGCTTGCAATCTATTTTTTTCTCATGTCCATGCATCTTGATGTTGAGATGACCAATTTTAAGATATTTGGGCATCAAACCAAACCCATTAAAAAAATATATAGGAAGAATTAAATATAAAAGTAGATTTACCAAATAAATCAAATGAGACTGGAAAACATACATTGCCCAATTGTTGTATTGTTCTTCTTTGAGGAGTAACCTAAACTCATACAATGTCTCATACGCTCAGGATCCATACCACCTCCATCATCTGAAAAGGAAAATAGTGCTGTCAGCTTTCTACCAAAAGTTAACAAATGCAATGTAGCAAAATTGCAACAAAATAAATATCTAGTTATCAAAATAAAAATACCTTGGAATAGCAACACTGGACTCCCGTCCCGAGCATTGTATACACTATCGACTTTGACAAATGTTGCACCATTAGGAATCTGATAGTTCATGAACAAAAACGGGGAAAATGTGGAAAGTATGAACGAAGATAAAAGTAGAGAGACAATGAGGAGGACTAGATAGCAATATAATATAACTACGTAATTTAGGAAAATTAATACAAGAAATAACCTTACATCAATTAGCAACACCACCAAAGCCATATTTACCCAAAAAAAAAAAAGCTATACAAAACAAAGTTTAACACAAAAAGTAGAAATAAAAACATAAAATTCTCAACATGGCATGCTATGATACCAAATTCATTTGATCATTGAGATGCCACCCAGATAACCCAACTATTACAAATAGCTGCAATAAGCAGCTTACAACAAGTAACTCCATGAAGAGATACATGGACAAGTTTATCAATGTCCAAAAGAAAAGGACTATTTACCTCATCAACCGCATTATCAAGAAGCTCAGCTATAGCTGCAAAAGGAAAAGGTGACTAACATAGTCAGTATACCACAACAAATTACCACAAAAAAAGTAGGGAGAAAAAGACAAAAAGAGCGATGCATCAAAATGATAATAATTCAACTACGCCAAATCTAGGCAGACAGATCATCCTCCTTTCCAAACAAATAGAAGAAACAGAACTTCAAATTCCATATTTCGAAAGTAAATGTCAATTAATCTTCCAGACAACACATGAAACCTCTATTGTTCTTCCTAGCAAAATCGAAACCCAAAAAACCCCATTTGACTCTTCAAAACAAAATTTTAAAATCTTAAAAAAATATATTGAACTATTTTGTTTTTGGACAAGATCAGGGTTTATAGGAGTAGAGCCGATAAAGTACTTAAGATTGATGGCCAAGAAATATCAAAAAGACCATTTTCGATATCTTGGGTCAATAATCCAAGAAAATGGTGAGCTTGAAGAAAATGTTGCACATAGAATTAGAGATGGGTGAGTGAAGTTGGAGACGTGCAACTGGAGTTTTATGTGATCGCCGGGTACCGGTGAAGGGCATGCTCTATAGGAATGTTATGAGACCAACTTTACTTTATAGGGCGGAATGTTGGGTGGTCAATAAACAACATATTCATAGAATGAGTATAGCCGAGATGAGGATGTTAAGATGGATGAATGAAGAGATAGAATTCGAAATGAATACATTTGAGATAATTTAGGTGTGGCACCAATAGCCGATAAGATAAGAGAGAGTAGATTTAGATTGGCTGGCCATGTATACGCAGACCCAGTACAACACTTGTTAGGAAGTGCAAGTTAGTTCAAGTGGAAGGCTCAAAAAGGGCAAAAGGTAGGCCCAAAGGACATGGTTGAAAGTATTGAAAAAAAGATATGGAGACTTATGGCCTCATAGAGGGTATGGCCCTTAATAGAACATAATGGCGTAATAGGATTCGTGTAGCCGACCCCAATTAATTGGGAAAAGGCTTTTGATGATGATGATTCAGGGTTTATAGGAGTATTGAGAGAAAGGGCAGGGATAGCCCCAAATTCAACACCTACATAGGGAGGAAAATGACAAAAAATAGACCTTACCAGAGGGCATATTCTCCCCCGTGAAGGGTTTTCCCAAGGCAGGCACCTCAGCAGAGGCCACATGTACCCTCTTAGGCGGCACCACCACTCCTCCTAGGCCCCTGCCTCACCTTGGGGCACCCAAGGATGGTGCTTTTTGATACACCGGTTTCTACATATATAGGATTATCTCATGCTTATCCGTAAACGCATGTATTTTTCAATACATCTATTCTGAACATAGATCAGCATTGAAAGTCAAACTCTAGCAAACACATTACAGCATAAAACCAGGTTACGTTAAAAGAATATCAGCAGATAAATGAAGATGAGACATACACATGAACAACAAAACAAGTTAATGAAAATGACCAGAGAAACAAGCTACAATCATATCAGCGTGGCTAAGACAGCACACTTATATAAGTCTTTGTTTCTATAAATGATTCATGCAAATGGGTAATAATCACATCCTTATAATGACTTCAACAGAGACAAGAACACCTCCAAAAGCCCACTTATGAGAGGTGGCATTAGAATGCAGAAATTTTGGGTGAACACGAACATGATCCATTTGACCTGCATGAAGAAAACTATTAAAGAATCAGCACACCATAATAGGGAACACAAGATGCTCCGTACCCAGGAATATTGAAGCCTAATTGAAAACATAAGGCAAGAACAATAATTTTTCACCTTTCTCCAAAAGGAAATAAATAAATTCACGACTGTTAATTTCATCCACAGAATACAATGAAAGGATCAAATCTATATCAAAGGAATAGTCTACAATGAAATTCAAAATCGAACTTGAATACTAAAAGAAATAAGCACTTGATAAGTGTTTTACACCTTGCCCTGAAGATCTTCTGCTCACAAAATTATCATAGTCTCCCGCTTTCCAAAAAGTGTAGAACTTATTAGCCTGACGAGGCATGTCATTGTACTCACGACTTGTAGATGGAGCCTGAGGTGAAGTCTGAACATTATCAGACCACCACAAACCAATTCTCACAGTGGATGATTCCCCAGTGGATTCCAAAGATGGCATCTGATTCACGTTGATCCCATCTTCAAAACTGCTAACAGGATTTTCTTGGCGATTGTCTCTACTAACTGATGAAACAAAGGCTGTAGATGGAGCAATAATATGAGGTTTAATATCGACTGAGTTGGTAAGCTCGGAAAATGGACCCTTAAACCTTGTAGGTATGTTTTGTACATCAAGCACTAAACTCTTATGACTTGCTTCATGATGTTTTGTGCTTGAAGGGGAATTAAATGAATAAATTTGTCCTTCCATTTCTACCCCTGTGCCTGCTGAACTAGAAGGAGCTTCTTTTTTCACAGGCAAAGGATTGATTACATACAAAGGTCTACGATGAGAGACTTCAGCTTCCTCATCACTACTAAGTTCAATAATGTCAAGTGCATCAGAGTCAGAACTCTCATTCATCTTGTATGTATGAGCTGGAAAACAGAGAACAGAAACATTTCTCAGAATTACACTGCTTGACCAAAAAGAAAATAGTTCCAGACAAAATCATTAGAAAATTAGATTACAAGGGTCCCTATGAAAAAACATATTCTTCCCATGCCACGATAAAAGTATGAAGCAAATATAAAGGAAACCCAACTCCATCTAAAAAACAAATTTGAGCTCAGCAGATGCAAATGGAATAGCCCCACGTTCCTTTTCAGAAGATAAGTTCGGATGCAACCAAGAAGAAGAAGTATAAATCTATATTTACAAAAGAAAAACGACACATAGGAAGAAGAAGAAGATCTAAAGCTTAAAAAGATACTGCATGCAACAGACTCGCACTAAAACATCACTCCATAATGACTAAAGTTATCAAGAACAGAAAACAGGTTTTGAGAAATTTGCAAATATGTACGTAGGAAAACCTTTTAGTCTCGCAATATCAGAACAGGATTTTGTGCAAAAATATGCAGCAACCAACAAAAAGGCTATATGTTCATACCTTATTTTTTGGGCCCACAGCCACAGGAAAAGGAACTTAAATGAATAGGAAAAGACCTTAAAATCTTCTATATAAATTTCTCTGTGCCCCCAAACAACAAACCCAGAAAATTTCACCTTAATACATTCATGAAAATGATTACATCTTGTTCACTAAAACCCAAGAAAAGCGTGCGCATTATCTTGAAATTACTTTACCAGAAATCGAAAGGACAGAAGAAAAAAAAACCAGCTTGCATTTATTTGGGAATTAAGCAAACAAAAATTCAGATGAAAAGGCGACATAATCTGAGCATCATTGCGTTCAACTTATAACATTTTCCAGTTGGTTGGTTATTCCATTTTGTGAAGCCCGAAACTCCAACCCAACCCAATATAGGGGAGAGAGAGAGATTTTAGAAAGAAGTGCATTTCAAAGGTTTTGCATTTTTCCCTTTACCAATGGACCATTCTATGTCTGGGAAACAGGAATGTAATTTGCCATTTGCATGCTGCAGAATGGCAGCAGTTTACTCCCAACATAATTTGATTTCCAATTCACGAAACAACCAATGAGCTACTTCATATCGCAAAAACAAACATAAAATGAGAGAGAGAGAGAGAGAGAGAGAGAGAGAAAGAGAGCCCTTGAAGGTTAATGGAGAATCAGATGAGCATGCAAAAATACCTCGAAGCTTGAAGGGTACCAGGCTAAAGGTGCGTATATCTTTGTAGAGAGAGAGAGAAAGAAGAAGGAGAGAGCGAGAGAGATATGCGTTTTAAAATGGTTCTTTGCACGCGCAGAGCAGCAGTGCTATAGTTAGCAGATGGAGTTAAATGTATTCGAACCGCCAGTTCACAATGAACAGGTAAAAAGGAAAAACCATATTGATTATAGTTTGTACAAGGCTGAGGTCGTAAACAATCAAAGTAAGGTGCACCTAAATAAAGCCGAAATATGTTGCTTCAATTTAGAAAATCTTTGTGGCTTAAAATTTTCTTTTTATATTTAATTACAAATTTTAAAGCTTTAAAAATACTGTAAATTGAGTATATCCATGAACAGTTGAAAATTGACTGTGTAGATTATATATTACAAATACATCATATTTCAAAACTTAAATTTTATTTTTTTTCATGTTCATACATCTTGAATCGAGATGATCGAATTGAGAGTTTTTTAGCATTCAAACAATCTTTCTAGTGAATTTTTGAAGTCCCATATATGAACTATTTCCATTACTAAAAGCTAAAAGATATTATACCTAATCCATCCATTCCTGTGCATACTCATTTAAGAGCAAGCATCTCCTTGCCAATTGGACAGGTGCTTACTGAAACTAAGATAAAGGATTGGTCTCGAAACATTCAACCTTTATGGGAGGAGGAATATCAAGGGCCTCCCCGGAAGGGCATGTTCAAGATCTGATGTCAAATAAGCTAGTGGATGTCATTGTTTAGTAATATGATTGGGCTCAGTTCTAGTGAGTCTAGACATGCTGGTTATCCCAGTGAATCTAGACGTGTTGATGGTTCAATTGATCCGCCTGGTTCTCTCATATGGCAATTCGTTTGAAATGCCGGTTTTTTCAGATAGCAATTCATGTGTTGGTGGTTCAATTGATCCGCTTGAGCAGTTGATTCTCTCATATAGCAATTAGTTTGAAATGCCAGTTTTATCACATAGCAATTCTAAAACCGGCTACACTTTTTTTAAAGAAATTCATTTTTAAAGTTTTTATTTATGGGTTATATCAAGGTGTCCACTCTATAAAGTATTTTATAACTGTACTCAACAAATTATATATCGGTGCGATTTGTATAAAGCCTAGGCTCTAAATAATCAAATTATAGCCTACCTTCAAATAGTATCGAGAAATATGGTTTCAACCCTGAAAATCTTTGTGATAGCCTTAGAATATATTTTCATCTTTATTTATAAAATTCAAAGCTTCAAAAATAGTGTAGATCGATGTATCTATGAAAACTTGAAAATTTTTAAAATTGATGGTCCAAAAATGCATTACAAAATACATTATTTTCAAAACTTGAAATCCTTTTTTTTTTTCATGTCCATGCATCTTGATGTTAAGATGACCAATTTGAGGATATTTGGGAATCAAAACAATCTCTTCTAATAAATTTTTTTAGGTAGGCTCTAATTTAATTGTTTAGAGCCTCGGCTCTATATAAACTTTTTCCATTATATATTATGAGGTATTTTATAATTGTACTCAACAAATTATATATCGTTGTTTTGAAATACAATATTTTTTTAGTAAAGGTATGTTTTATCCTTGGTTTATAATTGTACCCAATAAATTATATATTATAAGGTTTTTTATAATGGGGTGTGGTTTCTATAGGGTGGCAACTTTAAACAATCCAATTAA